CCCTGGCCCCCTCGCCCCACTGCAGCGCTGACTGGCTGGCCCCCCTGCGCCTCCCAGTTTCCAGAACCCGCGAGATGGAATTACAGGCCCGGCCACACGGGCGGCAGGCAGCAGTGCCTCCTGGCTCGGCCAGGCGAAGGCCGACGCAATCGGGTGCCTGCTCAGTGGCCAGCAGAATCCAGGCTCTGAAGAGCCCACGTGGGAAAGGGTGGGGTCTGGGGCCACGGCAGGGACCGCAGGAGCGGGGACAGGGGGCAGGGGTGACCATGGGGGAAAGAAAGGCCTAGGGAGGAAGGGGGCAGCGAGACCAAGGCTGGGACCCACAGAGATGGCAGGGGTCAGAGAGAAGGGGATCATGGGCCCAGGGGGCCAGGGCGGCCTCGCACAGCTGAGATGTCAGGAGCCAGGCCCACGGGGGCGGAGGGACCCCTCCTGACCACGGCAAGGCCGAGGCTGCTGATCTTGCCGAGCTCTTCACAGACCCTCAGAGGACGGGCCCCAGCTCTCCCCACAGCCCCCTCGGCCTGCCCTGGCCAGGCGCTGGCCACAGAGCTACTCCTAGGCTGGCCTGGCCAGGCAGCTGGCACTGCCCTCTGCCTGCCCCCCGACTCCCGTGCTGTCCACCGCCCTCAGCCCCCAGCACCTTCCCCGGCTTTCTGCCCTGCCCCCTGACACCAGCCCCTCCCGGGCGGGCACACAGCGGGCGCAGGGCAGGTGTGGCCCAGCCTCTGCCTCGGAGGGGAGGTCTGGAATGCAGAGCCCCGGTGCCAGGGCCTGGGGGTGGTGGAAGGAGCCCGGGCTCAGGAAGGAAGGGGCTGGCAGTTGGCAGGGGCCTGCTGGAGGGACGGTTGGGGGTGAGCGTTTGGAATGGAGGCGGGTGACAGTTGGCGGTGGCAGCTGGAGCGGCAGTTGGGGCTTGGCAGGGGCGCGGGCCTGGAGGACAGCGGGGTTGGGCAGCCGTGGGGCTGGCAGGTAGCCCCTGGCCCGCAGCGGCTCCAGAGGGTGGTCTCTGGGAGGCCCGGCAGGAGGGGAGGGCCAGCTGGCAGCAGACCGGGCTTGGCCTCGGCAGGCGGCCTCCCCACCTCCGGGTGGGGCTCCGCAGCCGCCCAGGGACGCCTCCGGTCCCCCCGCAGGGCCCAGGATGACGTGCGGAGGGCGGCTCCTGCGGCGCAGCCCAGGCATCCTGGGCCCACCGACTGCTGCGCCTCCTCCCCACCGGCTTCAGCCTGCTCCGTCCCTGGGGACCTTCCAGCAAGGGCTTGGCGGGGGCAGGAACAGGTTCTGGGCACTTCCCGGGGAGGGGGCAGGAGTCCCAGGGCTGTTGCCATGGGGACGGCTGGAGAAGAAACAGGCAGGTTCCCAGACCAGTGACTGCATAGAAAACCCAGTGGGGGCGGATGGGGAACCGAGTGCCCTGAGGGGAGGTGGGGCTTGTGGCGAAGGTCCTGGGGGTGGGGTTTTGCCCAGGGGACACTGGGAAGGAACATATGGAGTAATATTTGATGTCCCTCTCACCACCTTCCCCAGAGTCCCTCCCAGGCTCTGCTTCACGGGCGGACATGGGGGGCTGGTCCTTGCTTTCTCCGTGGCATCGGAGCGCCCACATGGGGCAAGGGGCTGGGTCTCTGCCCAGCTCCTCTGCCCCCTGAAGCCACAGTGGGATTGGAGGGCAGGCAGGCGCTGGCCCAACACAGGGAGCCTGGGGCTGCGAGCGAGGGGCTGAGCCAGGGCCTCTGGGAGGCCTGCCGGTGGCCATGTGGTTCACTGACCCAGAATCCCCTTCGAAGGCCTGGGGTCTGTAGGTGGGGGGAGGGCTGCACGCTCTTGGGGGCTCCATCAGTAAGCGCTTCTGTGAGCCCGACCAGCTTTGCACCTTGGCCCCTGAGCTCCTAGCCCTGGCCTCTCCAGTCCCCAGACCCTCCCAGGCCTCAAGGGTTCCTCAGGCAGGCTCCAGACAGACTCACCCACGTGGCTGGGGGAGAACTTCCGGAACGACCACCACGCAGCCCTCAGCAGTGCCGAGCCCTGGCTGTCCGCCAGCCTTGCCCACCTGCTTAGCCGTGGTTTGTCAGGGCACCTGAGCCTCACCCCTGGACCCTTCCAGACACCCAGGTGTTGGCTCCGCTGGCCCTGGATTCCGGGTCCTCTGGTCAAAGAGCGCTGCTGAGACCAATCACACACCCTCGTCCCCCTCTGTTCCCAGAGCCACTTCCTGAGTGCAGCTGTCCTCGCTGAGAGCTCCCACCTGTGGACAGTAAGGGCCAGAAGCAGGTCCCTCCTGGGGTCTGGGCCAAGGCCTCAGGGCTGAGAGGCAGTGCATGTTGCCTTTAGCAGGGCTTGGGGCAGGTGCCCAGCAAGAAGGGAGACTTTGTGACCTAGCCTGGCATCTGCCCAATCCTAGGAGCAACTTAGCTGGTGACGAGCACTGATGAACATGGGGATTCTAGGGCAGGGCTGCCAGCATCACTCATCAGGACTGAGCTGGCTCTGGGGCACTCAGCAGCTGCTATCATTTCTTTTCTTTTTTAAAGGATAGAAGGTGTTATTCGCTCACAGAACAGTAACTATCTAGAGATAGGGTGGGTTGCAGGCGTAGCTTGATCAGGGCTCTCTGGAACTGTTCTAGGTTCTGCCTTTTTGGTGTGCCAGCTTCCTCCTCAGGCTGCTGGCCCTTCTGTTGGTTCTTGGAGCAGAAAAAAATGGGCATCTCCGTCTCCAGTCCTTGGCAAGCCTGCTGTGGGGGAGGAGGAGCCTTGATTCATGATCACACAGAATAGGGGAGTGAGGGGTGTTAGGTCGGAGTCGCTCAAGAAACTGGGCGGATGCAGCAGGCTGAGGAGAGCTGGATTTATTAGTGGGGACTAAGAGGAGCCAACCGAGGGAGGTTGGGACTCACTGGGTTGTTCCTACATCAGGATTGTTAAACCCCAAAACCTGCAGTTGGGGCGTCAGAGTCTGATTGGCTAGAGCAGGTTGCTGGGTGCAGGCTGCCTCCTATTGAGCTGGATAAGCCAACCCGAGACCCTGATCTTCCTGGGTGGGGTCTGCAGGCAGCTTCCCACGGGGCCACTTTCTCACCTGGTGGTTTTCATTCCTCCTGGGCCGGCCTGGATCTAACAAGGAGAGGAGTCCCCGGGGCCCCAGGGACTCACTCCAGAACTCAGCCAGGGTCTCTGCCAAGACCAGCAGCCCCCGGGCTGGTGGGGAGCAGGGGAGAGCTGGGTGTGCCCTGGAGACACAAAGGCTGGGTTCTCGAGGGCAGGCGGCAGAAGGGACACCGCATCCCAGGAAGGCTCTTCTCCCTGTGTACACATTCGTGCCTGTGTCCCTCTTAGAGGGTGTCTAAGGGTAACAGGTAGGTGTCAATGATCAAGTCCTCCTGGGGTTTGAGGGCCACAAATCACCTCCACCTCTCTGGCCCCCTTTCCTCCAAGCCAGCTGGTGTGCCCCAGGTACGCAGGTGGGGGAATTCCTGCAGAGAGACCCCTGTCGGTTCAAAGGGAGGAGGCAGGTGACCCTCCTGGAGGCCTAGAGGCAGCCGCTTTTCAAGTGGCTGTGCCAGACCCCCTCCCAAAGGCCTAGGATGCTTGGGCCTGTCGCTCAGTTCAGACAGTCCCCGGAGCAGGAGGGCCTGGAGGGCATGGCTCCGGGCGGCAGCTCCGGTCTGCAGAGCCATTTCCAGGCACCGCCAGCCAGCGGTGAGGGAGTGCCCTGGCCTCTCATCGCTGGCTGCCAGACCGACGTTCGCCCTTGTTCACTCAAGGAGAATTCCACCCCCACCCCCACCCGACCTGCCCTCTCCCTGCAGCCCAGTGAATGCCTCCTTACACATCCTGAGAAAGCATCCATAATGGCCCGCCGCCTCCCACCTCCCGAGGAATTCCGCGGCGCTGGGCCCGCAGGGAGGCAGGGCGCAGACGGCCCACGGCGCCTCCCCATTGGATGGCCTGGTCTTGCTCGACTCCCCTGCGCGGCTGGCCAGCCACAGGCTCACCTCCCTTCCCACCGCCGCGCCTGGGAGAGGAAGCGAGGTGGCCTTTGCCCCCGCATAGGCCAGCCAGGAATGCGGGGCCACGATTCGCATTATGCCGCCCGAGGGCTCGAGGATAGTGTTAGGGGCGGAGGGACGCACAGGGCCTATCCCGGGCAGCACGAGTCGTGATCGGTGGTCGCCTGCGGGAGGTGCGGGCCCGTAACCCCACCAGACAGACGAAGGGGCAGGAAGGACCACCGCGCGTGGCCGCCGCTGCTCCTAAGTTGGCCAAACCGAAGCCCCAGTGACATGACCTGTGACGTGGCCCGCTCCCCAACGTGCGGCACTCCCTGGGTGGGCCGAGGTCCCCCGAAGGCGCGGGCGTGCGGGCCCGACTACGTGAGGGCGCAGGGCCGCGGGAGCACTGTTTCCTTGCCTACGTCGCACAGCCCCGGGCCCGCAGAGCCGCCCGGGCGCGGGCGAAGTCTCGAAGTTTGAGAGACGCGCACCGCGCGACTGCGCGTCGGGGCGCGGGTGGCCCGGAGACCCGCGCGCCCCCGAGGAACTGGCGCGCGGGCAGGGCCGGGGTGCGCAGTCGGACAGAGGCTGGGGGCCCTCGCCCTGACCCGAGTCTCCCATCCCGGGGGGTCGCCGCTGTTCTGCCGTGCGGGAAGGGGCGCGGGTGCCCGGAGACCCCACGCCGTGCCGCCCCCGCCCCCCCGCCTGCCCGGGAGAGGGGGCTTCCCACAATGCCCAGCGAGCTCCAGCCCGCACTTCCGCTGTCCGGCCGCCCACAGGGGGGCCGGGGGAGGACGGACCCCCGCCGCGCCCCCTCCCGCTCCGCTGCGCGAAGCAGGGGGCAGAGCGAGAAGCGGGGCGCGCGGCCCGGCCGGCGGGGGCGGGGCCCGGGGCGGTGGCCGCGGCCGGGGCGCGGCGCCGGCCAATCAGCGGCGGCGGGCGCGCGCCGGGGGCGGGGTCGGGGTCCGCAGGCGGGGCGCGCGCGCGCGGGCGGCGGGGGCCGCGGGGGTTGGAGCGGGCGCGGGGGCGCGCGCCGGCCTGACGGACGGACGGACGCACAGACCGACGGACCGAGCAGCTGAGGCCAGCGCGCATCTCCGACCCGCCCGGACGCAGCGCTCGCCCGGCGGCGGCGGCGGCGGCGGCGATCACCGGCTCGGGTCCGGCGGCCGCAGCGCCCGCCCTCGCCCGCGCCCCATGGGGTCACAGGTAAGCAACGCCGGCTCATTGTCCGCGCGGCCGGCCGGCGCATCGCGGCTGGGCCGGGCGGGGGCCAGATCGTGGCCGCTCCGAGCCGGGGCCGCTCTCAGCCGGGGCGCGCCACCGCCGCCTGCCGCCCAGCGCCCGCCGCGCCCCACCCCGCGGGGGCGCCCTCCCAGCGGCGATCGGAGCGCCCGGGCCGCGGCTCCGGGGGCGCTGGTAGCTACCCCGGCCCGTCCCGGCCGGTCTCCGAGCTTGGGAGTCTCGGGGCGGAGCGGGCGGGGGCGGCAGGGGTCCCCACGGGGCTCCTCACGGAGGCGGCAGCGGCGGTGGGACTGCCCCGCGCCCCTGGACCCGGGCGCCTCCTGCCGCCGCCGCCGCGGTCCCTCCCCCGACACCTCCGAGAGGGGAATTTTCCAGCTGGTAATTTCTGCTGCGTCAACGCCCGGCCCCAGGAGACAGCCCGGGGGCGTCCTGGCGCCCCTCACCCGCGCCGCCCGGCGCGCCCCCCGCCCGCGTCTCCGAGCCGCACCCGGACCCGCCCGCGCCGAGTTTGCCAAGAGTCGGAACTGCGGGAGGTGGGTGCGGGCGGGTCCCCGCACTGTGCCCTGCCTCGGGGTCATTGTCTCCCCCTGAAGCCGGGCATTGGCCTCGTCTCCATTTTAATTACCGGCTGAATCTGGGTGCAGGAGCCTCGGGGCCGAGCGCCTAGAGGAGCTGGAGGGGACGAGGCGCGCGGAGCGGCAAGGGGCGCGCGGAGCGGACGAGGCGCGCGGAGAGATCGGGGTCCGTGGCGAGCGGCGTCTTTGTTTCTCTGTAAATAGACATGTCAGTTTCACGGGGTAGCGCGAGTCGGTGTGTGACAACTCAGTCCTGATGGCAAATGGGGAATTTTCTACGCCGGGAGGGGGGGCTCTGGCTCGTTGGGGTGCCCCCAGCCCGGCTAACAAATTCGTGCTGTGCAGGTTTAACGGACCATGCACAATAGGGCTGGACCAAGGCAAGGAGCCCGGGGAAGACACCGAACGGGCCAGACCGAGGAAATATAAACAAAAGAAAGTTTGACTGAGATTCTCAGAGAATTTCCTCCTGCTTTTTCTGCCAGAATCTCAGCGACGCATTTGTCCTGGATTACAGCGGCAAGATTGTTACCAGCATTGTTTAAGGAAATGCTAATTAGGCAACTCGTCTAGCGAAGGCTGGGCGCAGACACCTGTGCACTGAATACTCACGCGGTGTCATTGTATCGGTTGTAGAATGTTTCATGGTAGGTTTGTTATCAGAGGTAACTTCCCGTTTGGGGAACAAACTTGCGGACTCTCTCTCGCTAGCCCCTCTGCTGTGCCTAAGGTAAAATTTCCACTCTGCGAGAGTGGAAAATAGTTTGTTCATCAGAAGGAAATTTATGGGAGGCTTTTCCGCATGAATAATGAAGTAAACAATAGACTTTTTTCAAGCAGAGTTTTTGCCTGTGGGCGTATTTTCTGATCGTTTTAGGCACTTTGAACAGAAACTTTGGGACTCCTAGTTATTCCAGAAAGGATTAAGTGAGCGGGAGGCATTCTGCGGCAGAAGTTACAGAAGGCTGAAAGGGAACTTAAACACTGTGTCCCCTAAAAAAACAGTAATTATTTTCACATCCCTTACGGAAGGGAAGACAGGGAGGGGCTGTTGTGAGAGTTCCCTTTGGGGAAGGTGGCAGGTGCCCCACCAGGGCTGTTGAGAAACCCCGAGTCCAGCTGCTCCCAGATCCCAGCTTCAGGACAAGTCAGTGAAGTCTCCTTTCTGCATCCGGGTGGGAGGAGTTTGTTTTAGTTAGATGAGATCATTTCTGCTCAGGTTTAGCTGTTTTGTGTTTGCTGTGCTCAGACCTCAGCCCACGTCCCCTTTGCGGTGTCAGGACTGGCCGGCCGCTGGCTGCCTGCTGTGTCCTTGCTCTGTTACCCAGGTTCAGAATGACTCCTGGCCCCGGGACACACCATGCTCCTCGGTCACACATTCGCGCCGAGAGGCTGAGGCCAACACGGACCTGGAGGAAATACGGTGCGGCGGGACAGCCCGTTGTTGCTGGATGATGTATTATTTACAAACACGTTAAGCTGAATTAAATTTTAACAGAGTGCACTTTCCAACGCTGTCCTTCTGTGGGGTTTTTCAAATTAAGGGAAATTGGGCCACTCTGTCCCTGTGGTCTGTGTTTCTGGGACAGCGGAGCGGCAAGCACACCTCGCTCGAAACCAGAGGTCTGCGACCAGCCTTCAGGAGCCAGGAGACCCACTTAGTGCGCGGCGCGCAGAAAGTTCCAGGAGCCGGTGCTCGCTCCTCGCTTTGCAAGGCGCCTTGTGCTCACGTGCCCTCTGGGCTGCTGTCACAGCGACAGGAGTTGTAGAGACCATCGGTCCTCTGGTGCCCACGCCCAGTCCCTCAGCGGTCCCCCCTTCTGGGGGCTTGTGCTCCTGGCCACCCCATGGACTCAGAAAAACACAGGCTTTCTCCTCTCTCTGACTCGTCACACTTTACCCTGAAGTCGGCTGAGCGAGGACGGCAGAGCACCAAAGCCTCCCGGCGAACGTCCCCTCCCCGAAAACAGAAAGTCTTCTTGTCGCTCCCCGTTGCCTTCAGCGGCCTGGCTGCTGAGAATGAACGTGCGATGAAAAAGCTCTGTTCCAGCCACAGACTCTCGAGGCCTTTGAAACACCGTTGTCTGGTCCTCACCCTGGTTCTCCTGTCCCCTGGGCTTGCTGTGGCCCTGAGGTCTGAGGCCATGACAGCGTTGACGCCCCCCCCCCATCCTGGCTTGCAGGCTGTGTCCCTCAGGGCACGTCAGGCTGAGCACAGAGCAGGCCTGGGTGCTGCCCCCCGGGAGAGGAAGAGAGGGAGGCGGACCACTCGGGTTTGACCCCGGGGGTCTGATTTACACGGGGTTTTCCGTCAGCCCTGCTCCGTAACTTAATTCAGAGTTAAACATTACTAAGCATTTCTAAACATCGTTATTTGGGTTTAAGGAATGACTCACCTAGGTCTTTCAGAACAGAGTCGAGAACAGTGTTGGTGTGTTTTTCAACTGCAGGCAGAGAGCCGTTCTGTGCCGACAGGGGTGTGTTCTGAGCCAGGTCCGAGATGCCCCCGGGGTCTCACCCAGGACAGTCCTTTGGCCTTTTTGAGGACCTGCTGCGGAGCGGCCTTCAGGCCCGGCTGGGGACAGAGCTCCTGCAGAGGGGCTGCTGGTCTGCTGGGATGGGGGACGCAGGAACCACTGACGTGACCTGGTGTGGGTGACAACGGAGTGCCAGTGAGAAGGGCCCAGGAGCTCAGAGGGTGGAGGGAAAGGTGTCCATGCAGACGCCGCCCCTCCGGCCCAGCTCGGGACCCCCTGTCCGCCCTGGAGCGGGCTCTGTCCCGACTCTGCAGAGAGCTGTGGGCCCCGGAGAGGGTGGGGCTGGCCGTGGGGCAGCGAGAGGAGCCACCGCGGCTTCAAGCTCTACCCTCCAAAGCCCCGGGCCCGGCCCGTAGCGCTGCAGGCCGCGCCGCGTCCGTTTGGAAGCGCGGTCCTTTTCCTGGCCTTCCGGTGGGGGCGCCGGTCACCGCTCTCCCAGGTGGACCGGGCCTGCCATCCCCCCTCCATCTGCCCGTCCCTTTCACCAGGTGACGTCTCTGTCATTTCCACTTGCTCACAGAACTGAAGGGACCCGCCCAGGTGTGTCATGGTTGGTGTTCGAAGCGTCTTTATTCAGGTAAAATTTGGTCAGCATCGCCGCTTGCACAGGATGCAGGCTCTTTTCGTTTGTAAGGCATTTTTGTTCCCCTCTTCGCCTGGTCCCTCTCCTTCCACCTGATGGCGCCTGTCCTGTGGGAAGCAGGCCCTGGACGGAGCAGACGCCCCCGCGCTGGGGGACGGGGGGTCTCAGAACCCCGGCAGCCCTTCCTTCTTTGTGGAGCCCGAGGCAGGCGCCTGCAGCACGGGCTACCCACAGGGGTCTCCAGGGTCTCAAGTGCAATGAGCGCCCTCTGGGAGGGGCGGACACGCAGGCAGCACAGCCCATGTGGCTTTGGACGGCCACAGGAGGGCCCATGGTGAGCGCCCAGTGGCACAGATGCGCCCAGGCGTGGAGAGTAAGCGGTGACTGACTCCCAACCGGGCAGAAGAGCAGGCAGCCCCCGAACCCCACCTGCACCCAAGGGCTGGGCTGCCGCTGCTCCTCGGGCCGACTTCCGGAAACCAGCCTGAAGGAAGCGGCGACTCAGGGGCTGCACTGGGCTATAAAGATGTGCAGGCCTGGGCCTTGGTTTCTGGAGGGTGGGGCCCAGAAGCAGACGAGGGGCTTTCTAGAAACACACTCACGTGCTCCCCTGGTCGCCCGCCAGGCAGGGAGCGGCGTGTGAGGGGAGGGTGGTTTGTGCGGAGAGGGGAGCGAGGGCGCGGGGCGGAGCCCAACACAGCGCGCCAGACCCAGGAGGAGGCCTGTGTGGTCTGGGTGTCGGGACCACGGGGCAGCCCTGCAGACTCAGGAGGGGAGGTCGGCGCAGGAGGCTTGGGGTGAAGTGGTCAGAGGCTTGTCCTGCGAGGGGCTGGAGGCTCTGACTCTCGCTGGACTGTGGTCGCCGCCCGTCCCAGGTCGCCGTGTGCCGTGCTCCAGGACTGCCCTGGAGCCGCCAGTCTCTAATGAGGCCTGGTGGCGCCTGGGCTCCTCCCACCCCGTCTGCCCTGAAAGCCCACATTTCACAGTGTCCGCATCAGCCCTGTGCCAGGTGCCCCGGGCCCATGTCCTCACACTCGGAGCGGAGCGGTCCTCAGGCCCCGGGGACGCAGGGAGAGGGGCGTGCAGACCGGAGGGTCCCATCTGTCCGGGGAGCGGACGCGGGTGCACCTTGGGCACAGGGCACCCGAGGGCTGTCAGCCTCTCTGCCTCACCACCCGAGCCTCGCGATGCTCACCAAGTGTGTGACGTGTGTCTGGATGGGGGACACTGTGGCCCCGGGGACTGAGCCCTGTGCAGGGACCCAGGAGC